ATCGCGATTAAGAAAATTAATGTAAAATAAAACGTACTTTCATAATACGTTTTAAAAGAAACGTATTTTCAAAAAACGCTTTAAAAATTAAAACGTATTTTGAATATACGTGTTTTTTTTTTTAAATAATTTTTATATACTATAAATTAAAAAAAATTAGTGAAATTTATGAAATTTTTTTTTAATTGAACACGTATTTTCAGATTACGGTTTCCATCCAAAAACCGTATTATGACAATACGTTTTCAGTTAAAAAAATTAAAAGATAAAACGTATTATCACAATACGTTTTCATTTTAAAAAAAAATTACTCCCAGACTCCCAGAAACAGCAACTTTACAATACAAATAAAATAGAACACCTGTTTGTCGAAATCAATTCTACAACCAAATATTCAACAACCAAATATTCAACAACCAAATATTCAACCAAAATATATCAAAATAAATATTCAACCAAAATATATCAAAATAAATATTCAACCAAAATATATTCAACAACCAAATATTCAACCACAAAAAGTCAAGAAAAACAAATTGTCCATAAATTTCCTAATAGTTGCTAGGAGTGAATTGATCCGGAGGTCTGCGCTCCCGGGAGCCCTTCCGACGCTGGTACGTCTGTAAAGAAGACGAGGCTGTGGCAGCTTCATCTGTATCTGTGGGCGTGGCAGCTTCTTCTGTATATGAATAAATGATATTTTAAGAAAAAAATCAGAAATTCTACTTTACAATAAATAATTAAATAAATAATTTAAAAATCATATTGTAGTTAAGTACAAAAATCTGACCTTCTTCTGCTTGTTCCTCAGGCACGGTATTGGGAGGCACGGTGTCGGCAGGCACGGTGTTGGCATCGAGGTCGCGGACACGGCGTCTTCTACGCCCGCCAATATTGGCACCAGGTTGATGCCTCGCCCGGTGCGACTGCGTCGGTTGGGGTTGGACATAGCTCTCTTGAGATAGAACTTGACTCGACGACGTCCCTTGCGTGACCCCTTGTCCTCCGACAGTTAGTCCACTTTGGAGCATGTTTTGGACATTTGCGATTATGGACTGTTGCGCTGGAGTGAGTGCATTATAGTGCATTATGTGGCCTCTACCAACGCTCTGCACGGCAGGAACCTAACCCCTTTCAGGACATTGTTGTAACTCTCCGACATATTCGTTGTCAAAGTGCCCCATCTACGTTTTTCATC